TGGTTTTTTTTTTTTTTTTTTTTTTTTGGTCTAAAATACATACTTCCTCTGGTATTCTATTTCATATTTTTTCTTTAAATCAGCTGACTTTCTGCTTCAAAGTAATTTAAAACAGAAACCTTGTACCCCCCGTGAGGAGAAAACCAATTATCGCCTGCCAAAATAGAATGTAACTGTAAAAATAAATACGCGGAAGACACAACAATGTCATTGAATTCTAACTGGGTTTCATTGTCTGCCAGAGTCTCTGGAGAAGCGGCCTGCTTTTCCATGTTAGAGGGGGAATTATGGAGGGCTAGGGAGGTACTGAAGACACCCGGGTACTGCTCTGGAACTTCCTCCCTGATGCACTCAGAAGGATTCAAGCGGAGTAACTTCCAAACGTGTCAGCCCTTTGGTAGAGCAGAGCCCATGGGCCGGGGAAAACCGCATCCTGAGCCCCGGGTGGGAGCCCTAAGTCCTGGCCGTGCTCTGCTGTGGTTGGCTGTGCCTCACCCCTCCTGCCTGCTGAAGGTCTGTCTGTCCTTCAAGGCTCAGTCAGTCCAGGAGTCTTAAACGCCCTCCGCCAGCCACGGTCCTTGGTGATGCCACCATCAGCTTCATGTCTTCTCAGAGCTGCCCGACTCCAACTCCTGCTTTTCTTTTCCTATTTAATTTAATTTAATTTTTTCCATCCTTTATCCCCTCTGTGACCTCTTTCACCTCCACCCACACTCCTTCACCCCCACCCAACTCCTACTTTGAGAAAGATGGGCACGAAATAAATGCTTGTCAAACCGAAACTTGTTGAAGTGACTAATGGGGTCAGCTGGAGTGCGGGTCACAGGCAGCATGCGACCCGGGTGGGGCCTGCTCACCTCTCTGTGGACCTACAGCCGGAAAGCGACGGCGCGGGGTGATGCAGAATAGACACAAGTGTCTCGTCGTTACTGCACCGTTTCCTGGCCCCTCTGTACTTACCTGGGTGGCAGCTGTGCCCCGTCCTGGAGTCCTGCACAAGACCCGAGAAAGCCAGCCCTCTGTGAGGCCAGGCGCTGTGTCTGACGGGCAAACTGGGGGCCTTTGCAGGAGCCAGGAAACGGGGGCACAGTTTTGAGTCTATAACAGGGACAGTGGAGGAGCCCAGGCAAGGCCGAGGATGGGGTCAGTTGCATCATTCCCGACGCCGAGGACGAGCGACGCCCGATCTGGAGGCCTTCAGAAACTCTCTGGTGCGCAAAACCACACGTCAGCCACTGTCAAGGGAGACAATGACAAGGATTAATGTAAAAAG